AATCATTTGGGTTATAGTGCCAATGTAATGAACATTCAGCTGGAACTGGTATGAATATGTTAAGTCAAATTTACACCAGTTGAACCACCAAAGTGAATACAGTGAATGACGTCTATCCAACTAGACTGGTTCGATGTTTGTGCTGGTGGAGTGGAATTTCCAAGATTCATCACAAGCTCGGTAGCAATTTAAGTATATCAACAAATTCCAGGGTAATTTTCCTACATGTTCTTGAAGTTAGATCACTGGAAACGTTTGTTCTATGGATTTTTTTTGAGAGACAGATTTGTTTTGATTAATGTTATGTGAATCACAGTGTGAATCTTGCACCTTTGTTAGCTAAGATTACCAAATTGTCGGGTTTTTGGGTGTGTTATTTTGACGGTTTGAACAGGTTGTTCTGTCTTGAGATTCCTTTTTCCCCCCTAGACACCAAATGATATTCTTAACTTCAGATCCAAGTATGGAAGATTTCTATAAACTAATCTAAACTTACAGGACGCTTAGTACTCTCAGTTCAAAAACTTTCACATAGAAGCAAAACATTGTCATAATTGGCGGTGATGTCATTTATTCAGTTAAAACAATTAAATAATTTGCAACCTGAAACCAGTATGCTTATTCCGTTGAAGTTATATTAAAGTCAGCATCTGTTTCCGAAGCCACAAGTATCATTATCCAAACCTTACCACACAATGCTTTGTATCTAACCCTCGACCATAAGAATTTACAGTTAAAGACTGAAGTATTTATCATTACTCACAGTCACACGATCCATACTAACTGTAGCCATTAATATTTTCACAAGTACGTGACAGATACAAATGGCTAGATTGTATTACGACAGAGGAGCCCTCATCGTTGCTTGCAACTATATTTTTTTATAATATTATTCAAATAATACAACTACAACTTAAATAAAATTATTTTTGAATGCAAATGCAAGCTTACATTTATAACGTCCAGATAAACCACGAAAGAAGCAAAAACTATGGCGATTTTTTTCCATTTGTGACATGTCATAACATGCCCGTGCCTTTTTCTTTTATATTTTCATTTTTACGTCATCAGAAAATTATTATAAAAAGATTTCTTATGATTTAGATTTTTTATGTATGGTCGCCTATTTCCCGATATCTGTGGCTTTCCGCTCGGTAACATGACATAACAACGGAAAATACCTCCGTTTTCGAAGCTTCGTATGAATAACATGGGAGGCGAATCGTTTGATGTCGGGTATCGTTCGAAAGCTCTGAACATCAACAATATCACTGTACCCTTGCCGAGAGTATTTTCACAGTTGTAAGAAGCGATTTTATTGGATAAAAATTGGTTTCTAATGACGCTTTTTCGCTACAGTCTGCTATAAGGGTCGTGATTGGTCAAAATCAGACACGTGACCTAAGGCAGCCAATCATATTACGGCAATGGATACCGCCCTCGGAAACGAAAACTTTTAGATTTAGACGAAAGTTTTGGGTAAAATAATGCTATTTTGAACATATCAAGCAAGAAATCGCTACCTATACGTAAATTATGGAACTTATTGGACGTATCGTGCTAGGTTATGACCTGTGACAAAATGCTTCATGCATATATTTTCGCATTAAACATCGTGTCCGAGCGTGAAAATTGAGGCGGCGAGAGCCGAGATGTCACTTGTCAATGACTTGACTTACATTACATGATCGCTCAAAAAAGATGGAAATAGTAATTTTATATGTACGTTTGACAACTTTTATGAATGTTGTTGTTGATTTTATTCATTAGTTTATTCAACTTATTTAATGAATTCCTCGAAACATCGTTACTTTGCTCTTTGACAATATTATTGTGGACCCGCTGCCGAAGCATGTGTCCGAGAATCGTTGTTTTCAATAACATTGCGAAAAATAGTTTATAATTTTAATTCTGCTGATGATATATGATAAATTGAAATTTAATAAGTGTTTTCAGACATTGTGAAATGTGATAGATTTAATATATGAATCATAAGTCAGGTAGGTTCCTAAATTTATGTCTCATTTTGACGTGACTACTGCCTGGCCGATTACTCGGCCTCCGGTGTCTGGGGACTCATAACGTTGTTTAAGCGGCCTGCGGTGTTGAATGGGTTAAGCTAGCCACTACACCACGGCCACACTGATAGCAACCTAGAATTACAGGTAAACACAGCACAAGTATTTTCATTCAGTCTGGGCTTGTATTTAAAATGTGTATGCAAGATATACACTTCAAAATAAATAATACTTCACATATCCAACAAGTGAATTACATCTTGTGTGGCACCCTCCAGTCATTTTCTGGAGGGTTATCTCCCATTTGACAGACACCCAATTGACAGACACTGAACTAGAAGGTTAATTAGGGTAACACCTACGGGTATAATGGAACAGTCCACTTTCTAGTGAGTAGAGAAGGGTGAGCATGAAACAGGTTCGTTACTGAGAAGTTTGATTGTGGGTAAATATAACTTTGTTGTGATTAAATGATAAATGATTTCTTTTCTCAAAATTGATTTTACTATCAATTAGTATCGAATATAAAAACAGGTTTGTCACTGAGAGGTTTGATTGTGTTTATAGATAGAAAAGACCCCTCCCAATAATAGCATATGTACAACAGAAATTAACTGAGAAAACGTTTTGTTGGAGAGATATAGATATGTACATATTTGAAAACATTCTGATTCGCAGTAAATGATAAACCTGCATTGCCATGTAAGATACGATTAATACAAATCAGTGTTCTAATTTGAATAATACTTTCTAAAGATGGTAACAGTTTGTCTTTGAGTAGTATACAATGGACATTCAAGGAAGTAATGAAAAACATTCTCACATCCATGGCCACATTGACATGATGCGTCATATTTTAAATATTTATTCTAAATAAATCTTAATTAAGTGCACTCGTCATATATCTTAATATTGTGTGCAAAACATATAACTTCTTTATTCCATATGAATAATATTTAGCTTCACATTTGTCTTTATTTGATTTATATGATACAACAGTGTCGCAATTTCTAATAGGTAAGCTAATGTTTTCAATATGATGCTGACTCCCGTTAGACTAGAAGGTTAAACCGAAATGTTTATGAAAATAAAAATTCAAATGACTGTCTTTTCGTCCAACTTTCAAAATAAATAATGTAGCTTCAGTTTGTTCCTGTGTTTTTATTTGGACTATTCCATTATAATGTGTAGGTAACAGATAGTAGAAAATCTGTTCACTGAACCGTAAATGTTGTTGTTTTAAGGTGTCTGCGAACTGGCTGTCCGCGTAATGGGAGGACACCTTCTGGGTGTAACAGGGGAGTGGAAATAGAATATTTTTCAACAAACATTGATTATTAATGATGAACACATAACAAAATACTGTTAATCATAACAAAATCAAAGTGATTACATTCCAGCCTAACATAAAAATGAGATGAATTTGTTCAGAAATTTGTAGATATTTTCTTTTCACAGAATTTGTGTCAGCAGACAATTAAACTGCAAACTCAACTCGCGCATACATCTTACATACCAGTTCCAGGATATTATCTCCAGAGCACATGCAGAAATTCAGCAGTGCCACAAAAAATCCTATCTACTGTTTATCAGCTTGTATTAACCAGCAAAGGAACAACAACAATGTGATGTTTAGAATATTTAATTTTTAAGAACCACAAATACCAGACATGCCATAAATATGTATACTATTTACACATGTAAATGCTTAGATCAAGGTATGGGATGGAAATAACTTTAAAATTGCTAGTGTACTCCGGTACAGTGGCACATGTAAAATCACTTGCCCTGATAATTTTTCCACTTTACCTGCCCTTTCTTGTTGATTTTTAAAATAAACAACATAATTTACATTGGAAAGTCAACTGGACACCGGTACAGTGTGATATACAACTTTGCTTGCCCGACAGAAAGAAACACTGGACTCGGACGTCGGGCAATGGGTTATTTCCACCCCTGGTATACAGGTATAAACATGAAAACTGATCGCATTATATGCATATACATTGCAATACAGACTAAACTTAACAGTATATAATGTCAACCCTAATACACACTTGCTTATCCACTGTATCACATGGCAAATACCAAAATGGCAGCAGGGCTTTAGTTCCAGCTCAAGCAATGTGACATCAAATCAAATAAACATGACTGAACTGTCTCCTGCAGATATCGAAAGCACCCATCTTGATATGACTAGCAGCTGGCAAGCCAGTTTCAACTGTAACTCCACACATTATTGTCCACTGCATTCTTTCACTGTAATATGCTTCATAATTGTATTGAGTTTGTCTGTAACAATGTACACGGGACATTGAATGTATCTTAGTTTACATGGTTACATCGGGTTCTTACAAAACCATACAATGGTATCAAGTCAGTCCAAGTGTTCCCATGCTAGACTATGCTAGACTGGAGTATATCATGGAGTATGGACACAACTAACATGACTAGCAACTTTCACTTACCCTTGGAGTTGGGTGTAACGACATTTTACTTGATTAATAATAACAGAACAGTGGTCTGCTATGAAATAGGGATAGTGGCCCCTTCCATATAAACATATTTGGTCATTTCCGACACTTATAGGACCATATTCTAAGACACTACATGTGGAAATAGTGGCAGGGATCCCAGGACTAACTGCAATAGCTCTTAAAATTATTTTCCGCCAGATGCAAAAGAAAGAATTAAAACACGATACTATTGTGTTTAAGCTGAAGCAAAGTTAAATAGCACTGAAGATCGTGTCTTGACAGCATTATCCAACGGTAAGATACAGAGGAAGAATTTCGATCAAAGTCTCTTAAGACCAGTGGCATTAGTGAAGAAGACAAAAAAAGTTCATAGAACAGAGAAGACAACAAGCCTGTCAAGCAGTACTTACCAAAACCAAAGAACTAGTAGGATATTAATAATGAATTGTTTCCTCAATATAAATTTTTATTGATGGTAGCGCTACTCATTAAGCAATTAGACTAATGTTTATTTACATGCAAAGCAATGGCAGACAAATACGTTGATCAACTCGTTGATGAATTTCATCGGTGGGTTCCTGCTGAAAGAGAGTGGGATCGCTGCATACCTACCAACAAGATATCGTCATTTACCTATTGATGTTACACACAATCAGCAAAAAACACATCAACAAATTTCTATGCCTAGTGCAATTGCAACAAACACAAAATGTCCAGTATTATTTTAGTGGGGGCTGTGGAGCAGAAGTGGGGTGAAAATACTTCATAATGTGGGGTGGTCCTTTCTCTCAATGTCCATACTACTATTGTAGATAAAAATATTTGTTGACAAATACTTCTCTGTGGGGATTTTAACTATCAGTTGGTTTGTGAGACAAAGATGGTGCGTCATTCCTAGGACTGCTACACTCACATAGTCTGGTTCAGCATATGACAGCATCACACACCAGGATGAAGTGAATGTGGACAGCATCAGACTAGATCAATCTGTACAGTCAGATCACTTTGCTGTGTTGTACGAAGTAAACAAAATCACCAAAGCCAGAATGTAAGACAATACATTGCAGAAAGTGGAAAGATATTCCCATTGACACATTCAATTCTGATTTGGTACCAGAGTTGTCAGACAATGACGGTTTATCTGTTTCTGATGTTTATGATATGTACAATGGCAACACAACAAGTATTGTAGATAAACATGCACCAGAGGAACGTTGTACGATTACAGTCTATGCAGAGAGTACCCATCCTGACCCACATGATCAATTTATCTCTGTCTGACTGATATGTTCCTGTGCCTTTTATGGAGGCAGTTATCACCCCACTGCAGAAGAAACCAAACCTCAACCCAGAAATTTTGAAATATTAGCAGCCAGTGTCAAATCTTCCTTTTGTCTCCAAACTTTTGGAACATGTGATACTGGTAGCACACAGACTGAAAGAGCACATCACTGCCCATCACTGCAGTCTGCATGCCATACACACCATAGTATGGAAACAGCCTTGGTGACCTGAATGACCTCCTTCAAGGACTTGACAAGAATGGTGCTGCAATTCTAATTCTTTTAGATCGACAATGACATCCTCATCAGCACCCTGAAGGAAAGAGTAGGTATGACTGTGCTTCAGTGGATTCATTCATACCTATCAGAAAGATACCAACATGTCGTAATCGGTGACCACTCATCTGACTCCAAGGAGCTTGCATATGGAGTTCCGCAGGGATCTGTCTTAGGGCCCTTGTTATTCACAGTTTACACCTGCCCCTTAGGAGACATAGCCAGGTGTTTCAGGTGGCAGGACCCACTCTCTGGAATCAACTTCCACTGGACAATATTAACAAACTGAAAATTTTCAAATCTAAACAGAAGACATACCTTTTAAAGAAAACATACAGTGTCCAACTTTTCATTTTCGAGTTGTACTTATGGACTGGAACTGGCACTATATAAATGTTTTTATGATGATGATTATGATTGCAGCTCATATCATCTTAACTTTTGAGAACACTTTTGCTTTGAGAAACTCTTGTTATGTAATTCAATCATACATCTGGACGAAAATGTAACACTTTGAAATGTCCCTTTCAACGGGGAAGTTTTATCACTGTTCATCATAGTAATCAATATGAGCTCCACTTTCAAAAACATTTTTCTCCAATATGGCGATGAGTCTGTTTACTGTAGTGTCTGGGGCAAGGAGGTTTTTCTTCATGGCTGAAAGAACAAATCCATTTAAGATTACTTGTAGGACTTGTAGGATTACTTGATAAATCATGACTTTTCAAATTGTTTGAATGGTAGTTAGTGCTAACATCCCCTATGTTAGAGATGTAAACCTAACAACAATGATGCTAGGAAACAATCATTGGATCACACACAAAAAAGCATTTGTACAGAGCACTTACACACTCAATCTTTTTGAGGAAGCAGCAAAAATACTAATCTCAAAGCTGGCTTTGACTTTTTAACCAAACACTTTTGGAACCAGGTTTGGACTAAAACTCAGAAACCTAACTATTTGTGACATTTTCAAATCAAAATAAATATGGTTGACCCAATCTCAAGAACAAAATAATTGCATTTATGAACAGTTATTATCAACAAACATGGAAGACATATTGTACTTTTGGCTTTTGCTTTAGCTTTAAATGATGAAATGTGGATGGCAATGGTACATGCAAGTGTGCAACTGATCATCCATTTTTCACTTATTGATTTGGGATAGTATCATACTGAATAAACTGAATTCTGCATTACTTTTTATGACTCATTTGAATTTGGGCAGGGGAGGTAACTCTAGTCAGTCCAAAAGGGATTCAAATATCTGGAAACGGTTTATCTGGTGAATAAAGGCTAAGTGTCAAGCTGTAAGGAGTGCTTTTTTGACTATGTAGCCACATGATTAATTGTCATGTTACTTCACTGGTATCCAGATGGCTGCACTGTCCTCACAGGATCCAATAGAACAGAATAGTGTAAATCAGACTTCAGAATCATATTTGATTCATATGCAAATGCCCTATTATCATAAAGTAACATCAGCTTTTAAGAGAGAAGAGGACCAAAATCATAAACATCAGAATATAAAGTAAGTGAATATATGTTTTTGATGCCAGTAATTTTCAAGCCATAACATAAAGACTGTAATACAGTACAACCAGAAATTATTGAGAATTTAAAGATTGTAAATTTTTATATATTTTTGACTCATTACTCACGTATTAAATGTGACTATCAGCAGAACATAACTCCAGATTCAAAGACAGGTGAACGGTTAGTATTTTGTCAAGTCACCATGGGCAGCAATGCAGGCTTCAATGCGGCAGGGCATGCTACTGATCAAAGAAGTTGTGGTCCATGCTGTCCCAATATCGGACCACCTCTTCTTTCATTTCAGCAATATTTGTCAGATATTTCTTATTGACACTTTCCTTCATAAGTCCCCAGACATTTTCTATTGGATTTAGGTCAGGGCTATAGATTGGCCAATCTAATAATGTCATATTTTGGGTCCGAAACCAGGATTGTGAATGCTATGAACTATGTTTTGGGTCGTTGTCCTGCTGGAAAATCCAAAAATTTCCATAGAACACGTGAGCAGATGGAAGTAAATGTCCCTCGAGAATATCTGTGTACCACTCACTGTTCATATTCCCTTCAAATACACAGAGGGGCGTTGCCCCTAACACAGATATGCCACCCCACACGTTAAATTTCGGACTGTGCTTTGGGCGCTGATTCAAAGGTTTTTCAGTTTGTTTGGTCCCGAATTTCAGTGTATTAGGAAACAGCCACACAGAACTTTCATCTGAGAAAATCACATTGTCCCAGTTAACATTTCTATGCTGTAAGCACCAGTTCACCCTTCGCTCCTTTTGTTCAGGTTTCATGATCGGTGATGGAATTCCTCGACTTTTCTGCCAACCCATTGCATGCAGCTCAGTTCTAACTGTCTCCTTACAGACAGCCACAGTTCCTCTATCAATCATATCCAGCCTTAAGTTCTCTAAACTCCTTCGTTTGTTTTTAGAAACAAGAATACCAAGCCGCCTCCTGTCACCGACAGTCAATTTTCTGGGCCTACGTGCGCCTCCCTGGTGCTCAATGCCATCGCCTGTGAGTGACACCGACTGAAAACTAGCGTAGGTAAACACACTTTACTCTGTGATAGTCAAAACAACAATCGCCGGGGGGGAACAACCGGAAACACGAGGTTGTCACTCAAAAGGGTTTTCCCAACAACTGCTGGCAACTAACATAATGTGAAGGGCCTCTACTGGCGCAACTTCCTTTTCTCTTGTATTCTGAAAAGTGGAAAAAATATTTTATAAAACAGGGGAAATGCTGATGATACTGCATTCATCCGGGCACATAATGTTCATGTGGAGAAGTCAATACAGATAATCCGTCACAATTTACGTGGAAATATCAAATGTCCATGTAATAGTCGTCAAAGCGTCTAGGAGGTTTTCTGAGTCTCTGTGTCCGCTTTGACTGCGCATCCTCCTCCTGATGAGAAGCATAGTTGGGAGTCTCACGAGGAGATGTAGGCTCAACTTCAGCACTGGGGGGACCTTGATTGTCCGAGGATGGTTGAGAAGGTGTGTAGTCAATAGTATGGGACCCTGCGGGGGTGGAGAGTTCTACAGGTACTGATGGTAATCTAGGCGGTGAAGTGTCCAAATCCTTTGTTGCCTCGTCTTCAGAGGAGTCATCGTCAGGGAGGTATGTAGAGGCAGGAGGTACCTGACAGGACACATGGTAACAGTCCGATAATCGCACTCTGTAAGAGGTGTGCCGTAGTTGGTTGCCACTGAACTTTCGTACGTTACACCACGGGGAATCAACGCTGATCACAAGATATCGACTCCGACCCTTGGTTTTGTCTCTGTCAGGATATAGGTAAACTACATCTCCCACTGAGATATCTGGGGGAGGGATCACTCTACCAGAGGGACACTTTGAGGTTTCACTGTATGGATGGTTTGAGAGTCTGTGGTCATGTTGGACTTGGATCAAGTTTATGTCATCCATGCATATTTGACTGTTGGTAAATTGGTCTCTTTGGGTCCACATCTCATGCGAGGATAGACCACGTGCCCTAATGCGGGTGTTGAGTCGGCAGGTAGACACAGCGAGTGTAAGTGAGGTGACACAGCTGCCGAGGGGATCCTGGCGAAGGAGTTCCTTCTTCAGTTCCTGTATGGCCCTCTCAGCGGCGGGATTCTTATTTAGATTTTTTACTCGGCCAACTTCAATGACAAGATTATGGCTAAGTAGGAGGTCATCATTTTGGAGTGCAGAGAATCCTGGTGCAGGATCAACTCTGATAACGTTGGGTGGTCCGTCAAGCGGGGTCACTGGTAAGCATAAAGTTAGTAATGTAGTAATAAGGGCTGTTGCTGTGAAGGATGTGACTGTTTCTCTGACCACAAGGATGAGTTGACGGTTGCATTTGAGAACGTCAGCTGCAAAACACAGACCAACTGTAGCGGGTGGATCGCTAGTTGACTGAGGAGTCAAGGCTTTAGGAACATGCCTCAGGGACTCACACGGGTGACAAGAACTTGTAGTGTCCGAAATTGCTTTGTCCATGTCCAAGGCATAAAAATATCTATGAACCACTGCTTTCATCTGATATGCTGTCGGGTGATCGAAGTTGGACATGTAAGGCAGTTAGCAGTCCATTTAACACTTGTCTGGGAACTATGATGCACTCGCGAGCAGGCATAAGTGGGTCTGTGCGTTGTACAACAAGGAGACCATCACGTGCGACAGTTGCAACATTGAGATATCGCTTGACGTCTTTGATGTCGGTTTGTTTTCTGGAAGGCCGGGTGCCTTGCTTTAGATGAGCATGAGTACGCCGTAGAGCTTGGCACTCCGACTGGGTGGCCATCCAGGCAGATCTGCTTGTGAACGGGAGCCGAACAGTTCCTTTCATTACATCCTGTACATTCAGTGTGCGGACTGTAGAGTCTTCAGTGTGATGGATGAAGGCACAGATTTGACAGCTGGGTGTGTCGCAAGGAGACGCATTACGGCTTGCGAAGTCTGAGGGAACATTAGCAGACCCAGATAGGTGACGAACTGAAGCTTGGTACCGGGAAACTGTAGAAAGGAATGTAGAAATCCTTGGGCTCGCAGAAAATTCACCTCGACAGAGTTTCTCATAAGCCTGCACACAAGGCTTGCTGTCCGTCAGAATACAGGTTTTGTGGACAGATTGGATGATATAGGGACTGAAGTGTCTTGTGGCCACAGCAATTGACAAGGCTTCAATTTCACAAGGTAGCCATGTTGACTGACGATCACGTAACTTAGCGCTAAAGAACCCTGCTAAGTGGCTTGCCCTCTCGTGATGCGTACAATGTGGCCCCAATGCCATGTTGTTTCACTGAACCATCTGTGACGATCCAAAGCTGGTCTGATGGGCAAGGGAGGGTTATTGTTTGGTGACTGTTCAAGACAATTTGAGCTTGTCGAAAGAAATGACACAAGTCATCAGTCCAGTCCAGTTTCTCATGGGACTCGCGACCGGCGTGAATGCTGTCGAGTGGGGAGAGGATTGAGGCACAGTTGGGAATGACTCTTGCCAGAGTCTTGTAGGCTCCTATGAATGATCTGAGACCTCTTACTGTTTGTGGGGGGGCACATGTTGATAATGTGGCAATACGATGTGCGCTTGCCTTCAAGGTACCTTGGCTCCATATCCATCCAAGGATGGTAGTGGTAGTAGGACAGACTTTAGTCTTATGTGGGGACAACCGCAAGTTGTTTAATTTCAATTTGTCAAGTACGCGTTGCCAGTTCAAGTAGAGATCCTCTATGGTGTCAGCACCACAATACAAATCATCTGCTAGTTTGACGACAATACCTTCCTGCTGGAGGTCTCCCAGAACTCGACACATCAGCTCTTCCAGAGCAGTCTCAGAGCCTGGCATGCCCATTGCACATCTCGTGTAAACACGTACGCCCTTAAAGGGGGGTTGCAACACCACAGTACCGCATGGAATCCTTTGCTAAAGGGATCTGGTAAAATGCTTGGCTAAGATCTGTGGTGATGATGTATCGCCACGAAGCAATTTGTCGCAAAGTGGAGTCGACGTCAGGCATCAACGAAGGTTGAGGCTTGCTATACCGTCCCACATCGGCAAAGGCTGTTACAAGTCGAAAACCGCCGTTGGCTTTCTTCACCAGGAAAGAGGGGTTTA